GGGCCGCGGCGAGACGGGGGTGTTGGTGGGAGGGCTTGTTTCTTGTTTGTAATAGCGCCTCTCGCCTTAGTTTTATTTTTTTTAATTTATTTATCTCTCCTCTTCGCTTAAGACGACGGTGGAAGAAGATATCGTCGCCGTAGATCCATAAAGTACCAGGACGAAAACCAGTTGGGACCATAGGATACCAGAACGAAAACCAGTTGGGACCATAAAGTACCAGTATGAAAACCAGTTGGAACCATAACATACCAAGACTGTTTTGGGGCGTACTGAGATTTTAATTGCTAAAAATTGGTTTGTTAATTGCGCACACAGTAGATTTTACAAAATTTTAATTGACCAAGTATTTTTGGAGGTATTATAAAAGAAACCCAAAAAAGACGAGATGAGACTTAAGAAGTACGATAAAAAGTATTTAATAAATTTCTTCTCCAGTGACGGGTATAGAATTTTAATATTTCCAGTATCAGCGCCCCATTTTATTTTATACTAAATTACATAAGCAACAGGTTCATGTATGCATATTACTGGGAAATGGAATCGACTATTTGGTAAGACCTGTATATTATGTATCAACTTTAAGTATAATTACAAGCATTCATAATTTTTTAGTGACAAGAACAATTAGCAAATGATTTTAATATGTTTCGCTACATCATATTTGAAATTTGATAGTTATTGTATATTTGCATCTATTTATATGATAGTGAATGAAATGGGGCGCTGATGCTGGAAATATTAAAATTCTATATCCTTCACTGGAGAAGAAATTTATTAAATACTTTTTATTGTACTTCTTAAGTCTCATCTAAGCTTTCCTTTTTTGGGTTTCTTTTATTTAATAGTTTTTATTCGCAATTGAAAGTAATTTATTAAGTAGTGTAAGTTAGTGTATCCTTTTATTATTCGTAATTATCTCTTTGCTGAGTGGCGGGCCTTAGCAACTAAACTTGGTGGTGGTGGGAGAGGCAATATTTTGACCACCATCAAAACTTTCTCAGTTTTAAACTAATTTTCGGGATTTTAATTTTGTATTTTTATAAAAAATATGTATCAACTTTTTGCTCATTTACATTTAGCATGAAGGCCTTAATTTTTTTCTAATCTCAAAAAAACACATTTTCGATGGTGTTTTTCCTGCATATCTCAGGAACAGGGCATTATTCCAGCCTCCTGGTCGACAGTTCAATTCTAATTTGCCATAATTGACTCTGGACACTAATTTCATTAAAATCGGATGGAGATTGACCTAGATCTGAAAAAATTAAGCTTTTCAAAACCGTAGTGATTGCTTACTTAGATGATTTTTTTCCTGCAGTAACTATAGCCTCATCTAAGAAAAATTCAAAAACTAGTCAAATGTGGAGGATTTTGCTTTCTCTCACTCGGAAAAAATCGTGGCAAGATTGCTAATCTATGCGATATGGGCACTATTTAATTTAAATTTAAATTTAAATTGCATCCAAAAAATTTGAAATTTGGCATGAACATGTATGAATATATTGTTAATCATAATATGACATCAATTCCCGTTCCGATCACTATGAATTTTTCAGGAAAAATCAAAGACTTTAAAAAATGCGGCTTTTGATTTTTCCTGAAAAATTCATAGTGATCGGAATGGGAATTGATGTCATATTATGATTAAGAATATATTCATACATTTTCATGCCAAGTTTCAAATTTTTTGGATGCAATTTAAATTTACACAGAACATTAAACAGTGGAAAAAGCAATACTTGAATACTGGATATATTCCTTCAACCAGCAATCATGTGATTCGAGTTTTCACGCTGTCCTGAAAAATCAAAGAAACAAACTTGGTACGTTATGGTCCCAACTGGTTTTTAACCTGGTATTTTATGGTCCCAACTGGTTTTTAACCTGGTATTTTATGGTCCCAACTGGTTTTCGTCCTGGTATTTTATGGTCCCAACCAGTTTTCGTCCTGGTATCTTATGGATCTACGGCGACGATATTATTATTGGAGCTTTCTCTCCCCAGCAAATCCATGGTAATACTCGTACCTCTCCCCACCGACTAACAAACCTACAAACTAAGGAAGTAGAGAGATAGAAAGTAAGTAAAGCGGATTTACTTTTTGCAGCTGCTGTCGAACTGCCGTCATCATCGTCTCCCTCACAGCAGATGGACAGCCATCACATCCAATCCTGCCCGACGTGAGGGCGAAATGACAAAGGACGCACTTTCGCCAGAGGATTTGGAGCCTCGTCGCACTCGAGTTTGGACCAAAGCTCAAACTCTCCGCTCCATGATCTTCTCCTTTTTTGGGGGAGGTTCGTCGTCCCATAAAAATTCGACCGTAATAAAAATTCTCATCAAAATATAAATCCTTATAGTGGGAGAAATATGTGGGATGTTTAACATGGTGCATATTTTGGGAAGTAGAAATGTACGAGAAACTTGATGCAGCCCGAGATACATAGAAAAATCTAGGGTGATTTTGAGTAAATTTCGAAATTTAAATTTTTATCAAACAGATTGTAGAATTGTGCGGACGGAGAGACCACTATTTCAAAGCGATAAAAGAAGCTTATCCTTAGCATAAGGATGCATACGAAAAATCCATAAAGCCTGAGACAGGAATTTGGTTTAATTTCGAAAAGTATATAGGGATAGTTTGTCATAAGTACTTTTAAAATTGCAATTTTGATGAGACAGACGAACCCACAGATATAAATACGATCATTCAAGTTCCATAAGTTATTACTTGCCCCAACAAGTGGAAACAAATTTGGAAAAACCAGTTATTCTATTGAAATTAGTATTTCTCAAAGTTGATTTTTATTTAACAAACGGAAAAACAGACAGACTATCATTCCAGTCAAATCAGTCTCTCCTCCCCCTTCATGAAGATCTCTAGACTTTGTGAAGAAGAACAGCCCAAGAAAAAAGAGAAAGTAAGTATTATTATTCGTTCAATACTTCAAAGACCTTCGGGCACTCTATGCAAATGGTAAAAGTGAACTCGTACTTTCGCCAGAAAAGAGATGATCTCCTCCTCTTTCGGGATTAGAGATCTCGCGGCGATCGAGATAGTATGCCCACTAGAGATTGAATTACTGCTAGCGAACGAGCGAAAGGCTGACTTCATACGGCGGGAAGAACAATTTCCGTCCAAAGTGACGGACTGCCTTTCTCCAGGAGAAAGAAGAGATGGATGTAAAAGCCAAATCGGGATGAGAGATCGGGAGGAAAAGCTTGAGGGCGTCTTGATTAACGAAATGATGACATAATGAAGCTGGATACGCTTCATGGATTTAATCTGGATTAAAAGAGAGAGATTTCTGGATAAGTGAATGATGATGCACTATATAAGTAATATTGTGATTGGGGGGGGGGGGTCATCGGGGTCATGGGCTCGTATTATTAATGGTGACATGGGTCACATGTAGGTCTCTAAAGCAGTGAAAAATATGTCGGAAATGGGTCTCAAATATTTTGAACAATTATTAAAATGGATTCGCTGACAGCTTTTACCACAACTTTTTGTACGGTATATTCACAATTTGAGAGTTTAAATTAAGAGAAAAATAATTAGGTGCGTTGGATTCTGTCAAGAAATATTAATCTGATTTTGTGTTAACCTAATTTATTTAAAAATCAGATAATGTTTGGGATAAAGAGACCTAAACAACTTGGCAGATGGCAGAAAGATGGCAAATTCGGAACTTGTAGAAAGAATTAACAGTCACGTGCTAATTCAATTTGGTGCCTAGTTTCATACTTTGTCGCCGTCTGCGATTTGTTCGGAATTTTGGTTGTCGCCAACATTAACTTAAGATTAACTCTACCTGATGATAGGTTGGTTGTGGTAGTAATTTGTAAATAGAAAAATGTAACAACATTTCAGCATCAAATTATTCCTGAATTTTATTCAAAATTTCAAATATTTGAGCAATCGCGTAGGCAATAAAATTGTACTATAATTTCCCCAGAGCACAAGCTTATAATCATGTGTCAAAATTGAGCACACAAGGTCGCATCCTAACGGACCGATAGCAAAGGATGTGAATAATTTTTGAACGACTTTTATCTCAAATTTTGTACTTCAGAACCTTGAAAATTCATTAATAGATATTGTTGAGATCGCGAAAAAACCACCAGCTTTAACCTTTCTCAGAAATGTGTCACGTCGTAAGGATTTTGGATTTAAAGGCTTGTACTTGTATTTTAGAATATGCGAATTATTTATTTAAACTTTACACGCATAAAATACAATTTTTAATTGGTTTTAAATTAAATGAAACTAACAGCAATTTTAGAGAGCTCTACTTGTGGCTGACGTTGCTGGAAGAGTGAAAGACGGAGAAGAAAAAATGCCACAAGATGATTGGGAGTTGAAAACGAGTGGGAGTTTTAAATATGGGGAAAATGAGACTAATATGAGATTCAACATACTCCCACCTTCTTTTGTGGAAACAAAAGAACAAAACATGAATTAAATTAAACTTTTACGAATACTATAAAATATAAATTATGAACAAAATTCTTAATTATTCCATTGTCCGTATCTTGAAGGCTTCTTTGAAGTTCTTCCTGATTTGGTCTGCACTACCGGATCCGCAATGACTTTCGACCCCCATTGGGGTCGAAACTGAATTTTTCACGCATATTCTTCTTAGCGCCTTTCGGTTCCATAATCCAGTAGTGGTACTTGAGTTCTTGTCCCAGGATGATATTTCAAGTGGGTAAAGGCGTTGTAGTGGACGCTGAAGTATCCCTGTTGCGGTCTTCACATTCGCAACTCGATCGACGCCATCCTTTCCTGGGATGAGTTCCAGAATTTTCGCCAATGGCCACTCGAACCGCTTCTTATTATCGGCTCCCACCAAGACGATGTCTCTTTGAAATACTTTGAGCGGAGTTGAATTTTTACATTTTTGTCGTTGTACTAATTGTGCCAGATATTCCTTCCTAAATCTGGCTTGGAGGGATTGCTGTAATGTTCTGGTCTTCTTATATTGAGCTTGGAGTTATCTTGAACTAATTTCCAAACTCTCTGGAAATTCTGATTTTGACACCCCTTTGAAAAACATTGCTGGTGTTAAAGGGATGAGGTCCTCGTGATCTTCGGTTGTGGTGGTCAAGGGACGGTCATTGATAACTGCCGCAACTGATGAGAGACACGTACGCAATTGATCGTAATTTAATTTTGCACGACCAAGCATTCTCTTCAAAAGGTCTTTTACGGATCGGACCATCCTTTCCCACCATCCTCCCCACCATGCTGCTGTGGGTGGGTTGAAGATCCACTGGATTTTCTTGACATTGCTGGTTTCTGCCACCTTGTTCCAATCCACTTTTTTGAAGAGGTTAACGGCGCCCACAAAATTTGTCCCGTTATCACTATAAACGGTGTTGGGTCGTCCGTATTGATTTATAAACCTCTCCAGAGATTCAAGAAAGGCTTCAGTGCTGATGGCCGTGACGACATCAAGGTGAATCCCACGGTAAACAGCACACGTGTAAAGTACGATCCAGGCTTTCTTTCCATCCCGAAGTTGCAGAGGTCCAGCGAGGTCAACTCCTGTTACTTGAAATGGGCCCCCAATGGTAACCCTATTTTCTGGTAAAGCTGCCGCTGGGTCAACTTCAAGAGGCTTTGCTTGGTACCTTCGGCACTTTACGCATGATTTGATAACTTTCTTGACTGTCCTTCTTGATTGAGGAATCCAGTATTTTTCCCGAAGTTTTCCAATTAGGAATTGCACTCCGGCGTGACAATAATTGATGTGCATATCCCTGATCAACATCTCCACAATTGGATGCGACTTTGGTAGAAGGATTGGCCATCTAAATTCTTCACTTTCTTTTCCGTAAAGAATTTTTGATTTTACATGGAATAATCCGTCTTCTTTTTTCTGCACGGGAATTCCATAAATGTTTGTGGTGTCTTGGTCGAATTCGGATTGGAGTTGTCTCAGAATGTCATTCTCTGCCACTTTTAATTCCATGGTCGTGAGTGTTCTGCTGAGAAGGCGATTTTCTTTTGATACACGAATATTATTTACGAACCTCCTCATCCATCCGAATACCGCGACATTCTTGTAATATGACGAGAATCTTGGTGGAGGACTTGTGCCGGTTACAATTTGTGCTGCTTCCGTCTTCCTCATTTCTTGATTCACCAATTCTTCATCTGCGTCTTCATTTGAATGGGGCCACTACTCCCTTGATGACTTCAACCACCCCGGTCCCTCCCACCATTTTGATGTGAGTAGTTCACGAGGACTGCACCCTCTTGAAGGAAGGTCAGCCGGATTTTGGATTCCAGGAACGTGTCTCCATTCACTTTGCTTGGAGAATTTTAAAATATCACGAACTCTGTTACCGACGAATGTTCCCCAGTTTTCATTCCTCTTTATCCAGGCGAGTGCTGTAGTTGAGTCACTCCAATATATTGTTTGAATTTCTGGCTGACCAAGGGCTTCTTTCGCTCCTTGAGTCAGTCTTGTTGCAATAAGGCATCCCATTAATTCTAGTCTTGGGATGGTTGGTTTGTTGACCGGGGCGACTCTTGCTTTTGCTTGAGCTAATTGAATGGTCACCTGGTCTTCATTATCCACACTTCTTATGAAAACAACTGCGGCGTAGGCTTCTTGGCGTCGCAAAAGGTGTGAATTTCTAATATACGAATATTTTTCAACATTTGTCTTGGAATTTTGATGTCGTTTAATGCTTGTAATTCTTGACACCACCCAATAAACTGATCCTGCTCTTCTTTAGGAAGTTCTTTGTCCCATCCGGTTTTGAGTTTCCAGGTCCTCTGCATTAATAATTTTGGTTGGAGTAAAGCAGGACATGTGAATCCGATAGGATCAAAGACTTTGTGGATAATTGACAACACTGTTCTTTTCGTAAATATTTATTTCTGAAGCTTGATCCAATTTGATATCACAAGAAAGTGTGTCTTCATTTTTGTCCCAGAGTAGGCCGAGTACCATTGTTGTGGAATTGTTAATTGGTTCCTTTGGTATGCGAATATTGTCACCTACCAACCCGCACTCCTGGTTGAAGCCGGCTCCGGTAGACTCCACAACACTGCATTCCCATTGTCGCAATTCCATCTTGGCCTCTTGCATAATCTGGATTGATGCTGTTTTGAATTCTTCATACTCTTCGGGAGTGTCAACTGATGTGACACAATTATCCACGTAGAGTGATTTTAATAACTTTTGTCCAATATCCCTCCTGGTTTCATCCAGCTTCTTAATATGGTGCTCAATTACGGCTGCCAGGAGGAAAGGACTACAATTGACACCGAAGACTACTCTCCCGTGACGGAAGATTTTAATTTTCTTTGCTGATGCATCCTCCCACCACAGGAATCGTAAATAGTCTCGATCAGATTCCTGTACGTCAATCATTTGGAAAGCTTTTCTTACGTCAGAGCTAACTCCAATTCTCCTCTCCCGAAATCTGATTAATATTGACGGGATGAGTTCCATGAGATTGGGCCCTTTATAGAGGCAATCATTGAGTGACGGACTTCCTTTTGATTTACAAGATGCGTCGAATACTGGGCGCACTGGAGTTGTGATGCTGTCCTTGAAGACGGGATGATGGGGGAAGTAGTTGCAGTCGGAATTTTCTTTATTGTATTCGAATACTTGTTCCACTATTCCTTCATCCAGCCAGGATTTGAAAATGGCATCATACGTTTGAAAATAACCTTTTTCATTTAATTTGTGGGTGGTGGACTTAAGTCTGCTCTCTGCTGCCGCTTTATTGGTGAGTGGTCGCAGGATACTTTCAGGTTCCATTGGGCTTCCCCCTAAATCTTCAATCCACGGCAACTTGACGGAGTAGCGTCCATCATTTGATTGAGTCACAGTTTTGATAAAATGAGATTTTGCTGCAGACTCTTCTTCTTGCTTGGACTGGACTTCTATTGGATCTCGAATGCCCAAAGATTCCAGATTCCACATTTGTGAGAGATTTTCTTCGGTGAGATACATGGAGATTTCTTCACTCACAATGCTTCTCGCCTTTGGAACTGGACCACTTAATGTCCAGCCAAAAATTGTTTGGACTGCTGTCAGTCCACACTCCAGATGAACTAACTTGCCGGTCTTCATTGCCCCTCAATAATCGCTGCCAATTAGGATTTCAATATCTGGACTTCCTACATTTGATAAATTGTGATCCGAGATCCATATTCTTTTTTGTTGTAGGGATTTCAGCCAGGGTCCTTGAGGTACGCGTGGGATGACTCCACCAATCACATGTTTTTCTCTGACCAGAATTTCCATCTTCTGTCCAGTCCTTGGATTTTTCAAAATAACTTGATGCTTGTTTACTTTCTCATAATTTGTGACAGATCCGTCAAAGAGCACATTTCTTGAAGTCTCATGACCTACTGGTTGACTTTTAATAGATTTGGCAGTCTTCATTGTAATATAGCTACGTTGGCTCCCTTCGTCAAAGAGTAATCTGACCAATGAATACTTCTTCTCCTTGATATTGTGGACTTGCACGAGTAAAGTTTTTAATAAGATATCGCTTTGGCACTGAACATTTGATTGTGAAGCAGAAGTTTCTGAATCTTGAATAATTTGCTCCTTTTCTTTTTCTTGAATGTGTTGGGGATGACTTGGGCACATAATCGTATAATGAGGTTTTGTGCATATTTGACATTTTAATGTTGATTTACAGTTTCTGAAATAATGTCCCCTTTCAAAACAATTTGTACACCGTTTGTTGTCGATCACTTTCTTCCTTTTCTCCTTGAGGGTCATCTTCTCAGCCTTGAAACATTTTGCACTTGCATGGTTAGACTTTTCACAGAAGAGACATTCATTAAACCGGCGACTGTAGGAACATCTTCTGATTGTTTTTGGTGCGCTTTGACTTGGCGCTGATTATTCTTGTTTTCTTTGACCTTGGTGGTAATCTCGAATCCAGCTCTAACTGATTTTCTCGTCTGTTCACCCTCCATTTCTTCTCTTAAAAATTCCATGAGATAGTCCAGTTCGTTTTTCTTAGGATTTAATTGTGATCCATCTTGTTTTCGTAAAGGACTTCTTTGCCAGGTTAAGAGAATTTTTTCTGGGAGGCAAGATTCCATTGGAAATAGGAATTGGGTTGACTGCTCCGCTTTGATTCCGAGCGACTCCAATGCCCTTAATTGAGTTTCAATGTCGTCGTATAATTTTGAGAGCACCACACTTTCATTTGATTTGGCTGTTGTGATGACCAGACGAAGCAACTCTCGTACATAAACTTGTTGTAGAAACTTTTCTTTTCCAAATCTTTCTTTTAGGGCGGCGATGGCTTTTAGGTAGTTTTCTGCAGTCATCGGGAAGCTCTCTACAAGTCCTCGAGCCCTTGAACCTTGTACCATGCTTTGGAGAAGGTATTGAAATTTGTCACTCGGGTGTAGTTGATCATCTTCGTCGATTTTCGTGAACTGTGACCACCATCCCAACCAGTCTTTCATGTCACCACAAAATTTTTGAAGTTGGATTTTTGGAAGTTTGAAATTTCGACTCCTGCCATGTTCACTATTTGCAGTGCCGCATGATGATGAGGGACTTGAGGGGGAGAACACTTTGCCAACTTTATGAGAGATCTCTTCGATTCTGTCTTTATACTCTTCAATCGATTCGAGCTCCGTTGCGTATTCTTCTTCCTCTGCCTCGCCGTCGAGAAGTGCATCCTTCATATTCTGGTCGAGGCCTTTCACTTCCACCATTAGTCTTCTCAATTTTCTCATCTTGATTTCCAACGCATCCTTGTCCTGTTCGGTTTTCGCCAACTCCACTTCCAATTCTTTGATGGTCTTTGTGATGCCGGCCCTCACAGGTGCGCGCTGTTTCTTGATTCGATCCATGCTTGTATCTCAGGATCAACAAATAGCAAAAGGAATTTAGAAAATATTCGAATAATATATTTTTGAGACGATCTCCACCTCAGTGAACCCCGAATGCTCAGGGTCTGGCCCACAAAGTGGCAGAATCGTTTTTTATCCACTCCACTTTTAGTAAGGGTCCGCTTCCTCCAAAATTGGTCATCTCCCTCAATGGAATGAAATAATGACTGAATTGATATCACCTGAACTGCTCCCGTATGCACAGGATTGGGCCCTCAACGAGGCAATGCGTCAGGATGATAAATTGAAGAATCCAGGTCCTTCTCGCCGATGTAGGTCACAGGTTCACCAAAGATTCACTTTTTTAATTTTATACACAGAACTAAGTATTGTCCTTGCCAGGATCACTTAATGGGGGCGACTGGTCACCAGGGAACTTAGTATTTTGTACGTATATTTCTAAATTGTCTTCCCTCGCCAGGATCAATTAATGGGGGCGACTGGTCACAAGAGAAGATCACTTTTAATTAATTATACCTCACGACGTAATCACGTAGAGGTCACCAAAAGTGTTGAGATCGCGAAAAAACCACCAGCTTTAACCTTTCTCAGAAATGTGTCACGTCGTAAGGATTTTGGATTTAAAGGCTTGTACTTGTATTTTAGAATATGCGAATTATTTATTTAAACTTTACACGCATAAAATACAATTTTTAATTGGTTTTAAATTAAATGAAACTAACAGCAATTTTAGAGAGCTCTACTTGTGGCTGACGTTGCTGGAAGAGTGAAAGACGGAGAAGAAAAAATGCCACAAGATGATTGGGAGTTGAAAACGAGTGGGAGTTTTAAATATGGGGAAAATGAGACTAATATGAGATTCAACAGATATTATTAGTATTGTATGCACCTTATAAAATCTACAACTATTCAATAAATTGCTAAACTTCAGAAACTTAATTTATGCGACTTCAAAAAGTCACTAAATCTTGCTTTATCGCAGTTTTTAAGTTTTAGACTTTGGAAACCCTCATGCACGGCCCCCAAGACAAAACCAAAGCCTGGTGCACTTATCGACTTATCTTTTTTGGGAGAAAGTTGTGTCACATTATTCGATCGAGATCTTCTCCGACAAGATTCTCGCCATTATAATTTTAATCCCGAGAAATATGGGTCTCAACTCTGCACCAGACTGTAAAACTTGCTCGCACCTTCCCCATCTCGTAATCTCAGGTTGCAAGCTAACTCTTCAGATTTACAAATGAATAGATGGGGACAAGCACAAAAAATACGAGTAAAAATTTTTGTTAAATGTAAAAAAAATTGGAATTGTTTAAGTTGTTTCAAGTGGCTGTAATACTAGCACTATCTTTAACAAATTATCTTATTAATTATCCTCACCAAAAAATTAAATTGCATTTTTTTAAAATTTTGTTACCATTTAATTTTATACACAAAAAAGTCACGTTATATGTCTTGGTCCCCTGTAGCAAGCGAAGTGGAGTTTTCAATGCTTGCAAGTGTGCTGGCACCTTGGTCGCACCGCTTATGGACCGGTGCGAGCAAGATTTACGGTCACATTATTAATGACATTTTTTCGGCCTGAGTGTGAGTGGCCACTTAAACTCAATGAATTTCATATTCTTAATGAAAATAATCTCCACTCTCGTGAGTGGAGACTTTGGAAAAAAGTGAGTGAACTTTGGGTCGTGGAGATGAGTTCAACTCAGACAATTTTCACATTTTGTATTCCCAATGACTTTTATTTCTCCACTCAACCAATTTTCGAAAGTATCACCCAATTTCGCTAGTTACGCAACGAGCAATCTTTGGCTGCGCTCTCAACGTTCGCTTGCATAAAAATTACTTGATTTCATACAACAAAATCATTTTTCCGGAAAATATTTGGAACAACTTCTGAAAAATTACTTTCTTCGTTAAGTACGTAAGTTATAAAAATATAATAAACATACCCAAATTCCTTCCACGCTTTTTGTTCAGTTCATCTAAAATTAATCCACTTATGCACACAGTTAAAACATGGCTCTCTCCCGTTTGCAAGATTATGAAGATAGATTAGAGCGTATTCACATTGTCCCGAGTCGTCAATTGAAGGACAAGTCAAACCCTATGGAATCACTCTCCGAGCACCAATTCCAATCCCGGTTTCGTCTCAGCAAGGACGCTGCAATATTTGTGGCTGATCCGATCAAAAACCAGCTGGTCAGTCCCCTGAGGCGTGGAGTTCAGATCCCTCCAATACTGCAACTACTCGTTGCCCTACGTTTTTATGCTGGGGGAAGCTTTCAAATTCAGGTCGGTGATCTGGCACAATTATCGCAAGGAACTGTGTCGAAGTTGGTCAAACGTGTCTCCGGTGCCCTAGCAGCCCTGCGCCCTCATTTTATCAAGTATCCTAATAACAACGAAGCCAATTTAGTTCGCCAACGCTTCTACACCTATGGCGGATTTCCGGGGGTGGTGGGAGCTATTGACTGCACACATGTTCCAATAAAATCTGTTGGAGGGGATAATGCTGAGCTATTCAGAGAGCGACATGGAAATTTCTCCATCAACGTTCAAGCAGTGTGCACATCAGACCTGAAGATAACCAACGTTGTAGCACGCTGGTTTGGGTCATGTCACGATAACAGGATTTTTGAAAATTCAGCGCTTTGCGGGCAACTCGATCGAGGAGAAGTACCAGGGATACTACTCGGTGACTCAGGATACAGCTGCACTCCCTATCTTATGACCCCACTGACAATGCCGAGAACTGCAGCAGAAAAACGATATCAAAGTTGTCAAATCAAAACTAGGAACCCCATCGAACGCTGCTTTGGCACCGTGAAGCAGCGTTTTAATTGTCTGCGATACATGCGCCTTAAGCTATCCACAACCTTATCCACCATTGTTGCATGTTTCGTTCTACACAATATTTCCATAATGTATCGTGACGATCTGGAATTCGAATACGAGGATCACGAGGACGATGGGGACGAAAATATACGGAACCAAAGTACAACTTCCGGAATTTCAGCTAGGAACCGAATTATTTCTTCTCATTTCTCATAATTGAATTTTAGAGAATGTTTTATTTGCTGTTTCTTGTATTTAATTAAATGCAAATTGTTTACATAAATTATCGATCGAATTAAATAAATGGAATGCATAAATTGTATACATACTTGAATTGCAATCGCTAGAATTTAAGGTTAAACGTTTACAAATCATCATTGCATAGTTTAGATTTCTCAATTTGTAAAC